AGAGAGAGAGAGAGAGAGAGAGAGAGAGAGAGAGAGAGAGAAGGAGAGAGTCAGTTCCAGATCAGGAAACAAGCTATTGTTCTTAATCCTTTTTTATTTAAACTAGACAATAATGTTCTAATCCTGAGGGCAGTGGGAAACTCAGCTATGTTTGATGGACGGTTTCATTCTTTTCTACTGACAGATAATCCCTTCCTCATCTAATCCACTTTGAAATCAGTTTGATTTTGACTTTCTTAATTAAGAAGGTATATAAGCTGTGGCTGTCCAAGGCAACATGCTTTTTCGCACCGCTAGATTATAGATAAGCAGTCAGCATAGGTTCTACAGCTCGGTTCCTGGGGCATCTCATGAAGGGGAAAGCACTTCTGTGAATATGCATCACACTGATAAACAGAAGAAGGGGTTCTAGGAGAGCCATGAAAGGGTGCCTCCCTTCAGAGATAGTCTGGGGTGCTGGGAGGTCAGTGGTAGAATACTTGGCTGGCACATGTGAGGCCCTGGGTTCAGTCCCCAGCACCACAAAAAACTAGCCAAACAAAAACAAGCCTATTGCTTCTCACACATTGCCTTAGTTGGTTAGACTTAGATGAGAATAATATTTTGCCCTTTGGGTATCAGTTTTCACAGTCCAATAGGAAGCCTTGCCTGATCTGTGAGATCAGACTGTGTGACTCACAAGGCTCCTGTTCAGCTCTACACCTTTCCTTTGTAGTAGGTAATGCAAAATACACTTGGACACTTGGACACTGTACCTTTTCAGCTCTGCATCTTTCCTTTGTAGTAGCTAATGCAAAATACACTTGGACACTCGCTTTTCTGCTGGAATATAAGCTCCAGATGCATGGCAGGTGTATCTGTCTCATTTACAGCTGCATCCCAGGGCCAAGCATAGTCACTGGTTGTACTGGCTACTTAATGGGTTCACTTTTAAGGGTAATGTATGAGAAGTGGGAGGACAGAATGCTAGCAGCCAGAGATAGTGACACCACTATACTAAGTATAACTATGAGCTAATTAGTTCAGATTGCTAGCAATAGAACTTGGAAAATGGTCCTAGGGATTATGTGGGCAAACAAATCTGCTTGAAGCTACCAGATTTATAGAAAGTGGACTAAGTTCAAAGTGAGTCCTTTTGTTTACTGTAGAAAGTACTTACCTGCTAGGGAGAAAGAAAAGGGAAAGAGGAAACAAAAAGGACTTCTCTAATGAATAATTAATCCAGTTGTATGGTACTCACTGTGAGTGTGTTTGTGTTTGTTTAAGAGAGACCTGATGAAGAAAATAAAGCTTCTGTTAGCTCCTGAAAATAAGACTAATAATCATGAGGATAATTGCCAGTCTTGTGTGCACTCAGTAGTGTTTCCACGTAACAAGTGAGGAAACATGCAGAGATCAGAGCTGATGAGGGAAGAAGGCAGGTCCTCAGGAACGAAATTCCTAAGTGTGTTCATTTCTAAGCAGCCATTACTCTGTCTCGACACAACTCTGAATTGAAATTATCTTAATCCTAGGTATCTACAATAATTGCTGCTTCTAGAATGCTGTTATTTTTAGCTCTCTATAGGTTATACTGTCTTTCTGCCAAAAGATGAGTCAGTGGGTACACAGGGGTCAATGAGGAAACCGCCTCTGGTTAAAATAGCAGATAAAGGAGCTGGCTGTGGTGGCTCACCTCTGCAATCCCAGTATTCTGTAGGCTGGGGCCAGAGGATCACCATAGGCTACATGGTGTGTTTGAGGTCAGCCTGGGATGTAGAGCAAGACTTTGTCTCAAAAATAATGCCAGGCATTGTGGCGCCCGCCTTTAATACCAGCACTCTGGAGGCAGAGGCAGTTGGATCTCTGTGAGATCGATGCCAGACTATATAGCAAGTTCCAGGCCAGCTGGGGCTATAGGGAGACCCTGTCTCAAAAAGACCAATATGATAAAAATAAATAAGCAATAACAGGTAAGGTCCTGGTGATAGAGCAGTAAGCTGAGAAGAGGCAGGCTTCTGGGTGGTCATGAGAGCTGCTAAAAGGAGCTTAGATTGGCACAGGAAGCATTCCACTGCTTGGGGGAGATTTTTTAAAAGAAGAGGAGAAAGCATTTTATGCTAAATCAAGTGATTGTATTCAAATTGCTGTAGAAGTGAATAAACTTTATCAGAGATCAACAAACTTTTCTCTAAAGGGTCAATAATAAAGTTTTCAGGCTTGAGATTTTAGGTCCCGAAGCCTCTGCCATAACTACTCAGCTCTGCCACTGTGTGTTGGTTTTTCAAATGGCTGCCCATAAATATTGGTGAATAACTCCATATGGGACCCAGCTTTGGACCTGTCTCCTGGCTGGCCTTACTGCATGGGAGAAAATGTATCATCACTTTCTGTCAACCCCACACAAGATACTCCCAGGCCTTTAGGGTTACAGGTTGCTGTTCTGTCAGGCCTGTTCCTCTCTTTGAGACTTGGGCTATTCGCTAATAAATGGATCATTTCTAGCTTATCTCCTTCCAAATCTCCCAGTCAAGGCATATTCTTTGCCCCAAGAAGTTTTGCTCCTAAGAAATTAGGAATTTTGACAAAATTTGGTAAAATTCCTAATGTACCAAACTTTATGTATTCTGCTCTGAATATTTCTATACCAGTTGTAAACAGATCCTGAAAATTGCTGTGATTTTTGTAGTCATTTTAATAACTGTGAATTCCGATCATGTTTGTCATGTTTGGAGATAAAATTTCTTTGTGTGTGTGTGTGTGTGTGTGTGTGTGTGTGTGTGTATCTGAATTAAATTTATAGAAAAAGAAGCATTTCATTACAACAGCATTAACCTATTCAATAACATTTTTCTGAGCTGTATATTTTTAGGTTTATAGATGAATTATTACACTTGTACAGTCTTTTACTCATTATAAACTCTATAAGACATAAAATTAAATGAGGTTTTAACATTTAAAAAGATCTCCACTTCATTGTTATGGAGATAAAATTTTAATTAGAACTAATTTCATGTATGTTATACATAATGTAACCTCAAAAGCTAATAACATTTTAGTTAAATTATGTAATAAAATGAGGTATTAGGAAACCTTTATTTTTCAAATAAACTTTTCAAGCAAACAGAGACATGACACTAATATTTGTTTGATTTCTAGGGGTATTGAGTGGACAAGCTTGACCAGTTTTCTTTCTTTTGCTACCTCAACACCAAACAACGTGGGATTAGTGAGGAATGAACTTCAGCTGGTTGATCTTCCTACAGGTTTGTAGATTTGAGTTACTGGACGATTCAGAAGGGCTTGTCATAATGGAGGGGCTGCTGTGTAGAACATGTTCCACCGCTGTCTTCCACCTCCGATTTTTCTTATTGCTGAGTTCATATGATCATTCTTGGGTTCTTTAATAATTACACTAGAAAAGTCTCAGCAGTGTTTCTCTGGGTGCATTGCTCTAGCACACACGGTAAAATAGAAGAGTATCAGCCTGCACTCACAGGCTGCCAGAGTGATACCCAGCTTTCTTCTAAGTGCAGTGTTTGTAACTGAAAGAACAGTTTTATGTGTGCACGTAGCACAGCATGTGTGCAAAAATCAGAGAACACCTTTTAGGAGTTGGTTCTTCCCTTTCACCATGTAGGTCCTGGGGTTCAAAGTCAGGTCGTCAGGCTTGGGAGTAGGCACCTGCTCTACTGTTGAGATATCTCACCAATCTTAAAGATCAGTTTTTAAGATAATCCTTGGTAGTTCATTTTTAGATCCTCTGCTTAAGGTTTGGTGCATTGTAGGAAGCCCTCAAATCTGTATAGGTTGAAGATTTTTTTTTCTGTAATAAATCATATTTTAATTCTATGACAATATAAATAAAAATATAATATGGTCAGCTATGACACTATAGTTGTCTATGCATTTGAATATCAAACACTGGCCCGTGGGTGATGTCTAGACCCCCACCTACTTTGCTTCAGCTTATGGTTTATATATTTTACATGGTTGGAAAAAATCCAAATAAAACTATTTCAAGAGATAGTAAAATAATATGAAAAATATTTCAAGAGATATTAAAATAGTATGTGGATCCTAGAACCAGACTCTGATAAATAAGTATGCAACCAGACATAACTACAGGAACCGGGATAATGGAAAGAGGAAAGGGGGATAGGGAAAAAGAAACAACAGAAAAAAAAAAACAATTAAAAATGAGGCCTCAAGAGGGGAAATAGGTATAAATATTTGGTTTGTTTAGGGGGGGGGGGGGGGAAGGGTATACAAGGAACCTAGGGGATAAAGGGAAAGAAGGAGCTCCACAGAGGTAGGACCATAGGAGAAGGGTATTAGTAAGGGAGAAAGGGGGGACCCTTGAGGAACAAATCCTCAAACAACCTTAAGAGTAAAAATAAATCGGTTTATCTGGACCAACTGTATGGCCTTAAACACCCAAAAGGAAAGTATAACCAAAGATTAAAAGGGCCAATATAATTTCATAAGAGTCCATATGTATAGCTAAAGGCTACATAACAAGCAACAGTGCCAGTCAGGCGATACCTTTTGAGTTGTTGGCCAGGGTGGCCAAAGGGAAGATGGTTTTTAAATGTTCATATTTAAAACTTTTGCTAACTACTAGCTGATCAAAACAGGGAAATTTGATATATGAAGACTACAGTAGAAAACATTCCAGGGCTAGGGACTAACTCAGGTGGTAGAATGCTTGCCTACCTTGCACAAAGCCCTGGGTTCAGTACTCAGTGATGGGTAAAGCAGGCATAGTGGTGTACACCTGTAGTCCCAGCACTCAGAAAGACTCAGAAAGAGGTAGCCATCCTTAGCTACACAGCGAATTCAAGACCAGTCAGGGTACATAAAATCTCTCTCATAAAAAAATTTTTTAAAAGAAAAGAAAATAATGTTTTAGACCAGGAAGATGACTTAGCAAATAAAGGCACAAAGCCGTCTTCCCCCAGGTAGTCCTCTGACCTCCACATATATGCACACACAATAAAGTAGCTGATTAATGTAAAAATAATAAAAAGTAGAGCAAGCATTCCAGTAAAGTTGTTCTGAATTATTTAAAATAGCCCATTAAATTTCAGAAACAGAATTTTAAAATGGAACAGGATGAGAGCTTTAAATTATTTCTTTGTAGAAACAATGATTTCAAGTAGGTTTTCTTTAAATAAATGAGTTTCTTCAAAATAAGACAATAAAGTGAATATTACAGATGATTTTAAATAATAACATATGCGTAGGTATAGTAAATCAAGTGTTTGATTGTTTTTTTGTTTTTCAGTGTAGATTTCCAAGCTCCGAAAGTGCAGTGATTTTTAGCTTAAGCAGTCTACCTCTCCTACGTTCAGGCCTGCTGAGTGCCTCACTGGCTCATGGGCTCCGGCTTTCCATTGTGCCCTCCGGTGAATGCTACTTCATAGTCACTCATTTTTTAAAAAAGTCTTGTGTATTTTCTTCAGCAGGTTCACGTTCAAGACTATTAGATAACTTAGAATCTGTCTTCACACGTTTATTTTTGAGCAAAAAATATCTATAATAATCCAGTAGTTGCTGACTTCCTAAAGTGAGACATTTGAGCTCACAGATTAGCCTTTTATATCTGGATCCTCTGCAGGTTAGTAGACTAGCTAGTCAGGAGGACATGTTTGGGCATAAACTAGTGTGTGTTCCACTTGCTAGCTTCCAAGGGTGGGAACGTTTAGGTGGTCAGTTGTTTGTGGACTGGTTATGTATTCTTTTTTGTTCAATGTAAATAAAAATCTAACAAGATACCAGAATATATTTGTTCAGCTATAAGGTAGAAATTATTTGCTTTCATTCACAAAAAAATCTGTTATCCTTTTTTTGGTACTTAACTAATTATTATACTGCATATATAATTACTGTAGTTACAGCTCCCAAATTTCACTTTAGAGAGAAATTTTGGTAGGTGTATTCAAATATTTTATTTAGTGCTTTGCACATAGTACACGAAATCTTAAATACTTGGGGCTGGAGAGATGCCTCAACAGTTAAGAGCACTGACAGCTCTTGCAGAAGACCCGGGTTCGATTCCCAGCACCCACGTGGTGGCTAACAGCCGTCCATAACTCCAGTTCCAGGGGATCCAATGCCCTCTTCTGACCTATTCTGGTACTGCATGACACAGGTGCACTTACACACATGCACACATAAAATAAAAATAATAAAATAGTTTTTTTAAAAATAAATCTTAAATACTTGTGGGCACTCCCACAACCAATTAGTATTTAAAAGCATGGGAACATTTTATATTACTCTAAATAGGCAGTGGATGGTTATTCTACCAGTTAATCTTTAATGTTTTAGAAAGTGAAATTTCTAACTTTCTAAAATTGAATTGTAGAATTAAATAATATAACAAATGAAAATGCCTTTTTATAAAGTATTTGAACATAAGTAATATTTACCTTTTCATCTTTTGAGAATCTTTTCCAATTTAGTGATTAGAAATGTCTTTGAAGCTGAGAGGGCAGGGCCGGGGCAGACTGGACAACTGTTGCTTATACACTTTCTTTGATGTCTGAATTAAAGGGCGGAGCACTGCATTCCGTGGTGGAGGCAATGATGAGTCACCCATTGAAATGATCAAAGTGTCTCATTTGAAGTAAGTGTCAGCCTAAAAACCTGTAGTTTATCACAATGGAATCATAGTTGTTTCTTTTATTAAGTTTTAAGAAAATGGGAATGGGCTGGAAAGATGGCCCAGCAGCTAAGAACACTTGGCTGCTCTTGCAGGGGGCCTGAGTTCAGTTCCCAGCTCCAGCTGGAGCTAAGTACCCCCTGTAACTCCAGTTCCAGGGGATCCAGTGCCCTCTCCTGGCCTCCTCAGGCACTGCACACACCTAGTTCTTCAAGTAGCATTTTTGTTGGTTTCTTAATTCTCTCTGTAGACAGTCTTCTTTGCTAATGAAGGCACTTCCAGTCTTTCTAATCGGCAGGCATTTTGTTTCTAATTCTGTCGCATGAGCAGGACCTCCAGTAAGTGCTGAGGAAGAGTTGTGAGAGCCAATGATTATTCTGTTCCAGGATCTTCAGTCCTGGATATTTTTTAAAAATAATTATTAGTTGAATTTTTCCAAATTTCATGCAATAGATGTTTGTCATATTTAGACACCTCCCCTATCTGCACCCTTCCTAAGCCCCCTCATGCCACTGGATTTTATGCCCTCTGTCATATATGTTAAGGCCTATTGAGCCAAGTTTGTGTCCCCAGATGTCCCTAGGTGGGAGACCATCCACCGTAGCCCCGTCAACCCATCTAGCATCACTCCCTTAAAGAAGACCAACTCTCCTTTCCCAGGAGTCATCAGTTGCCAATAGTTCCTTAGCTAAGGTCAAGCGCTTTACCCCTTTCCCCACTTCTGTGCTGGACTTCTGTCTGTCTTGAGCTTACATGGGTTTTGTGCATGTCCTGGACATTTAACACTTTTAAATGCGGCCTCTACTTTGTCCATTGGTGTCTTTTTATTGTTTTTATGCTGTACTAGTTTATCATTTCTGAACATGTTCATAGATGTATGTTTTTTTTAACTTCAAACTATTTGGGTGTTTTTCCAGATATATTTTTCTGTGATTTTTTAAATTTCTATTGTGGTTGAAGAATATGTTTTATGTTATTTCCATGTTTTTTAATTTAATATGATTTGTCATGAGGCCCGGGAAATGGTCTGTCTCGGTGCCTGTCCCTTGTGCACTTGAGCTATTAGTTATGGTGTTGTGTGAAGTCAGTTCTGGTTGGCTGGTGGTATTACAGGTCTGCTGTACCTTGCTGTTTTCTGTCACACGTATTCTGTGTGTTAATGGAGAGGAGAATGGTGACCTCCACACTAGATTGGTTTCATTTTCTTTGGAAGAACTTAGAGACTTTGGCACTCTGTACTTAGGTACACGTTTTTGATCACTCTGTTGTCTTGGTTAGCTAATTTATGTGTTACTGGGAAAGAGCCTCTTTCTCTTTGGTATTGTTAGGAAGTACGCCCGGATAGGCTGGCGTTGGGCTAGCAGTCCTGTGTTCTTTTGATTAGTATGTATACTTTTCCTCCCTTACGGATACAACCCACCCTCTCTTCATTCTTCTTGACATCAGGCAAGTGGAGCTTATTGTACATTTGTTTATTTATGATCAGCGTAAGGTTTATTGAGCTCTGCCAGCATTTTACTTACATTCTAACAATTCAGCCCCTCCTACCATCATCTCCTCCTTTTAAAAACCCTTTGGAATTGCCTGGTCATTGTCATTGGAACTTTCTCCTTCCCCAAATGTTCTTTTCCTGTTTGAATGGAGTTGACAGTTCGTGTTATCAAATTACATGCTTTCTCATGTTTCTACTGTAACTGCATCCAAAGCCTTTGTCCCCGTTACCTCTCTCATTATGGCCAAGTCAGGGGTACTATTTCTCTCCGAACTCACTATGATGTCATACACACCACCCCAGTTTTAACGTAATAACCACTTAAATGGGGCTTTTCTGTTTAATTTGATTATCTCAATGTCTCTGATTTATATTTAATGTAAGTATCACCGTGACTGTGTTTAAATCTAGATTCTTGCTAGTTTTCTGTATTTTCAGTTTTTTATTTAGAAGCAATTGATAAGATTTTAAACTTGCTATTTTTAAGCTCTGATATGTGAAATGTCATTTGCGATGACATTCATAAACAGAAGCGCTCTGAAGGTTCTCAAGTTTTAAGAGTACAAAAGAGTCCTGAGACTGAAGGGCTAAAAACAATGGTTCACTCTGGGGACTGCAGTCTTGTTTTTAGCCTCACTTCTTACATCTAGTCTGAATTCATACACCTAACAGCCAGTGGCACCTCCCACTTCAGACCCTTCAGTGCAGTTTGCTGTGGTCTGTGGAATAACCCTGGCACCACTGAACTTGGCATTGGTGATTTGGATCCAAAATCCCCATTTCAGTCTTTTTCATGACTGTTCCCACATACTCTATATTCAAGATAAAATGTTCTCCAGTATCTGTTGTTTGTCACTTGTCACATTTGTCACTGTCTGGAATGCCATTTTCCTGTTGCCAAGATCAGTCTTCTTCATAGTGGATCTTTGCAGCATTTACCACATGCTGTCTTATACTAATTATTGATGTGCATGTCTTTATACTAAATATAATAAATGGTGTAATATGTACTCTACTGCGGTTTATGAAAGTCCTTCATGGGTACTGTTCTAATATTTTTAATCCATATAGCATTTTGTGAGACAGGTCTTTTAAACAGCATTTTAAAGGTAGCATGAAACTCCAGATGGAGCTCTGGGCTTGTCTGCATTCCCATGACCGGCAGGACCCTCTTGTTCAGGCACTGTCCTGCTCTCATGTGTCCCTGTGTTAGCTATCATCTCAGGGTAGTGTGTGGTTCCTCACAGTGGCCACTGAGGCATCAGGCACAGTGTAGTCTGTCCAGTCAATGCACTGACTCATTCCATGCATCCCATGTAAGGTTGCATTCGCTGCTCACCTGCTGTGTGAGGTGACCGAAGCCACCCTGGCCTGCTTTTCATTTGATTTTCACCATAACCTGCCAGTTCACAGAGGTATTCCTATGTCAGATGTAAGAAGCTGAGCCTGGAGGAAGGGGGTCAGGGTAAGCTGTGGCACCAGGATTTGAGCATAGACCACTCTTCCTTCTGAGCTGGACTCCTTGCCTTAGCTGAGGCCGAACATGCCCTTCCAGATCATCTCAGTTCTGTCTTCTGTGACTGTTAGTCAAAGGGCGGAGAGTTAGCTTAATTGCCTGTGCTTAGAAAGTACTGCCTGAGGTTTTTATTTGCTACACGTATTAATTCTACTAATTCAAGGTGACATTTTTCTTTTGATAATTTGGTTGTTGTTTTCATTTATTGCAGACAGTATTTGGCAGTTGTTTTCAAAGATAAACCTCTGGAGTTGTGGGATGTTAGAACTTGTACCCTTCTTAGAGAAATGTCCAAAAGCTTTCCTGCAATAACTGCTTTGGTAAGTCACAGCTGAAGCATTGTTTACTCGGTATAGGTGTGTCATAGGGACGTCTCTGTATCTCAAGTTATGCTATTGCCATGTATTTTCTTGTTAGATATGTGTGTTAACACATTTGGGAATTTTGAAGAACATGGTAAACATGTTTATGAAAGAAGGCAGGCCCTAAATGGCCGAGTCATCCTTGAATAAAAGGAATACAGTGGGTTTGGGTCCTATGATACCTGATGTACTAATAAACTGTGGTAAAAACTAACAGCATGTTGACATAAGAACAGAAAACGGACAAACATCAGAAAATATTTATAATCAGACCCACAAATATTTAGGGGCTTAATATACAGCACAGCAATGTGCAAATAAAGGAAGCAGGCAGACCGCTTAGAAGACAGTGTTGAGAAGACTGCCTCACCTTTTTATTTTTTATGCTTTTCTATAAGTCTGTTGTGTAGATGAAGCATAGTCTTCATGCCCATGCCTTCCTCTCCCCTTTCCCAACCTTCCCACCTTCCCAGTCACCCTTTGTCCCTCTAGACAAAAAGTCTCCCACTTTAATGGAAAAAAATAAAAAGATTAAGAAACAGAAGATATATAAGACAGCACAGTTTATGTAAAGTAGAAAATCATGCAGGTGAGAGCTGAGCATGGTGCACCTGTGATCCCAGCAGCAGCAGCAGCAGAAGGGGCACACGCTTCACAGCCCAAGCTGCACAGCCAGATTCTGTCTCACCTTAGAAACATGTGCATGTGAAACATGTCAAGTTTTACATGAGAGGCTATTGAATTAAGCTCTTCGGATTAGGTACAAGTCTAAGAATAAATGTGTAAAAGGAGCGGTTTTGCAGGAACCTAAGCCTGGTAGAAGGTCTTGATTGGACGAGCACAGTTCTCATATCCCTTGCAGGTAGGGGCAGGCGAGGAAGCCAGGAATGGGAAATCCTGTAGCTGTATGTTATTTTCATTTCACAGAAAGGGAAGTGTGGAATCTCGAAGCTTGCATTAAACTTTTTTTCCTTAGGCAAGAACAGTTCACGTGCCATAGTGATAACCAGTACAGGGCAGTGGTGAACATGCCCCGCTGATCTGGAAGCGTATGTTGACAGATGGGAACCTGGCACTTCTAGGTTTTCTGTCTTTGCTGTGCAGGAGTGGTCGCCATCTCACAACTTGAAGAGCCTGAGGAAGAAACAGCTTGCTACCCGAGAGGCCATGGCCCGCCAGACTGTTGTCTCTGACACAGAACTGAGTATTGTAGAGTCATCCGTGATCAGGTAATTTGCTGTTTCCTGCTAGGGTCATTGGTACTGTCCTTGTCCTGGCTGAGAGACTGGCATATATATCTGGGGACACTGTGGCAGTGGGCCACCCTGTACTCTGAACGTTCTTGGTTTTGTAGTTCAGTGCATGCCGTGCGTACCCAGGCACTATGAAGCTAAGCTTTGTGCTATTGCTTAATGGTGTCAGTAGCATGCGGGAATGTCCTCCATCAGCATCCTTAGATGAGCATGAGCATGGTCATTCTTTCTGTCCCAGAGCCTTCAAAAACACAAATGAACATCACATAAACATAGAGATAGATCTAGTACCAAAGAAAACGTATTGGGAATCCGGAGTTTCTGGGCTGTCCCCATCCTCGCCATCTTATAAGTAAAAAGCTTCAGAGACAGCGAAAGATGAAGTGTTAAACCTGCATCAAAGTTTTGCATCAAAAATAGCTTGTGCCAAGTTGATATCACAGGTTTCTCCTGCACTGGTTTAACTATTTAGGAGCTACTTTAAAATTTTCCATTATTAAGTTCCAGGGTTGTTTTGGCTTTTTTGTTTTTGATGATTTTGGGCCTCTTATAAATGCATCTGTGTTGTGTTAATTATGGTTGTCACTCTAGGGAAAACAAAAACCTTTTCCTCTGTCCTAAAGCTTGTTACAAGAGGCAGAAAGTAAGTCTGAACTCAGTCAGAATATCTCTGCTCGGGAACATTTCGTGTTTACTGACAGTGATGGCCAAGTTTATCATCTCACAGTTGAAGGAAACTCTGTGAAAGATAGTGCTCGGATTCCACCAGATGTGAGTATACCCCTGAATTAAATCTCCATCAAGGGTTCTTATCAAGGACTTTGTCCATCCATAGCCAGTAAAGTCAAAATTAAGGAAAGCGTCTTCAGAAAAGCCTAATTTTAAGTAAATTTTACTCTTTACCAAGACATCACTGACTGAACTTTGTCCACACTGCTGGAAAGTAACAGCAACTGTTGTGATCATAGATTTGCCATGTGCTGCTCATTTTTATGACTGTGATAGCCACAAGGAATTACCTCCTGTTTGCTAGTAATGAGGCTGAGGAGGGTAACTAACTCTCCAAGGTTCCCTGGCTTGGTTTGTGACCAAGCAGTGTTTGGAGCTCAGCTGTGCCCATGTCAGTAATGGCCCTCTTCCCATTTCATGGATTTCCATGAAAGACTAGATTTACAGTCTGATGTTATTTTTGGATAATTATAATCAGATTGTAAATGTAGTATTAATACTTACTGATTTGTAGGTATCTTTTGTTTGGCCTTGTGGAATCAATTATAGTTAATAATTGGTATCAGCATGTAAAACAAGTTGCTTTTATTAAATGGATTAAGAAAATGTTAACCAGTATAGATTATAATTAAATGAAGACATTAAGGGGATTTAAAAAAAAATATGATAGTTGTTTTAAATCACCATCTCAGTAAGATGTTTTAGTAGAAAGCCAGCTTCCATATCTTGTAGTGGCTCAGGGTTGCATGGGGTTGTAGCCAAAGCACTGGCTGGGGCTCTAGGCATTCGAAGTTGAATGGACAGGGGATCCATTCCAAGGTGGTGCATTCACATGGTCTTGAAAAGTAAAGGTGGCTATTGAGACCTTAGTTCCTCTCATGGGGACCTCTCCACAGAGCATCTTGAATCTCCTCATGTCATGACAGCTGGCTTCCCCTGAGTGAGTGATCCAAGCCAGCAAGGTTGTATGGCCTAGTTTGTGAGAGTCCTCTGCTGTTGGCTCAGTCCTGCTCATTGTGGGGATAACTCCGGAGGACTGTGAAGGCATGGGGCCCTTCGCAGCTGCCTATGTCTCTTCTATTAATAATCGAAGAATAGAGAGCATGCACCTAAACCTTCAGCCTAAAATCAAAGCTATGTAAGTCTTTCCACATTGTAGTATTATTTTTACCATTTTACAGAATAAGTCATATCTGAGAGTAGTGTCTCTTTTTAACTACCTCTAATATTGTCTAATATTTTTAAGATTTTAAAACAATGGACATAAATGTAGAAATTTGGTGTTTGGTCATCCTAGTAGGAAAGAAAACTGTAAATGTGTAGAGGAAAGTTGTTGGTAGACTTTGGACACAACTAGCGTAGCTGTCATGGGAAGCCCCCAGTCTGCTTCCTCTGCAGAGCTCTTTTAGAACCTAGAGAAGATACCATAAGCTCTTCCAGAGCAGTCAGCAAGTAGTTCAGTCTCTTTACTTTCCAATTACTTTATGCTTGAAAGTAGAGTGTAGGAAGAAGCCAGTGACTTTTGATACCAGTAAGGCCTCTAAGACCCGCTCACAGAAAAAGTTTTGATTTTTGGACTTGAATGTTCTTTTTTTTATTACATTATTATTTATATGTGAGTGAGAGAGCACATATGTTTGTTTGCTCCACAGGGCATGCATTGGGGGTCAGAGAACAACTTGCAGGAGCCAATTGTCTTTTTCCACCATATGGGTCTCAGGAATTGAACTCAGGTTGTCAGGCATGGTGACAAGCACCTTCACCCACTGGGCCATCTTGCCATGAACGTTCTTCTAAATAAATGCCTTTCCAGGATGTTAACAGCACCTTACAGCTCGTAAAGCTTCATCTCTCTTTATGGAGACTCGAAGTTGGGATGTAGCAAGTCTCTTACTCTGCCAAATTCTTTTATTTGCTAATGGATGTGTATGTCTCTGAAGGAATGGCCCTCTTGGTGAGCAGGCAGTCTCTGGTGAAACTGATCCGCGTTTCAGCAGATTCCAATTAGAGAAAGGGCGTTGGTGTCTGTATATGCTAAAAATTGATTTTGTTTTATTATTTTTACTTTCTGAAGTTGGCATTTTTCTGGTGAATGGCAGAGGGTTTGTTTGGTTAAATCCACTATTTAACTTGCGCTTCTTTAAAATGTGAAGTTTTAAGCATTTGTTTTAAGTTGGAACTTTCACTTTGGATTTCAGCCCCCAAACTAGGTGGACTGATAGGTGGAAGGAGAAAGCCGGGCACATTTTCAGTCACATGTGCATAGAAATCTATAGTGGCCACCCTTGTCTTGAAAGGGAGGAAAATGAGACAGCGATCTGCCTTATGTTGCCTTTTCTCCCTTTGACACAAACACCCTGTCTCACATGTGGGCAGCATAGTGGCAGGAGATAGGCTGCTCTGAGCTTTGGTTCTTAGAGATTGTTTGGAGCCGCTGGCAATGTGCACAACACATTATCTGGAAGCATCTCCACATGGCTTGCGAACCCATTCACACTCTCAGGAGAAAAGGTATAGATGGTCTGTACAGTTGAATTAGTACAACATCATGGAGTTCTTACACGGAAACACTGATTTTGTAGGCTAATTTAACTTGTAATGTTTTAATTTTTTGAAGTTGAAAAATAAGATTTAAAATGTGAAAGTATTCAAGACTGAGAAGTAAACTCATTAAAGGTTTCATTAACATTGTGGAGAAAAAGAGCTAGAATCTGTGAGTGCTCCTGAGAGTTCACAGACATTCATGTACCCAGACTTACTGTAATATTGACTTTTATTATTTTATTTATTATTTTTATTTTATGTGTGTGTACTGCCTGCATGTAGGTAAGTGCACCCATGTTGTGCAATGCCCACAGAGGTCAGAAGAGGCTGTTGGGTCCCCCAGAACTGGAGTTACGGACAGCTGTTAGTGGCCATGTGGGTGCTGGAATTTGAACCGGGTCTTCTGCAAGATCAACCAGTGTTCTTAACCGCTGAGCCATCTCTCCAGCCCCATAACATTGATTTTTAATTGTTTTTCTTTTTCTGGGATGTCAGCAGGACTTACATAATATTTGGGGGAGGCAAAAATGGTCAGTTTGTTGCACATTGACACTTCCCTGTTTCTCACCATAGATGTCACGTGAATTTTTATTGTGCTATAAATGCAAACACAAGATTTCTTTTAATAGAGAGAGAAGTAATGGGCAGTAATATTATTTACTAGCTAACATGTGTTGCGTGTTTGCAGTTGACACTGCTTTCAGCCTTGAACTTATTATTTACTACAAGCACCTCTACAAGTTTCATGAGCTGACCTGACTACCAACAGTGAACCCAAGGCCCAGAAAGGTTGTGTGATAGTGTTTCTGTCTCACAGTTGCATTTCCACAAGTAACTTTTGCAGAGCTTCCTGTGAATTCAAACTGAGCAAATACCTTTTTTTCCTAGACAGGATCTTACTAGCTATCCTGGTTAGCCTGGAACTTGCTATGTAGACCAGGCTGGTCTCAAACTCACAAAGGTCCATTAGCCTCTGCCTCCTCTTTTCATCTTCATTATTCCAGAAGGTTCTAGAAGCTATTAGTAAAGAACTGCATCTTTTTTTAAATAGGAAAATTACTATGCCATTAGTTACTAGAATAATTTGGTTTCCCTTGAAATGGATATTTCTCCTTCTGCAGTCAGATAAGACTTAGATCTCTGGACTTTGTCTTTCCTGTAATTCCTTTTTTCCCAAGGTATTTCTTCCTAAAAGACATCCCTTCTCTATAAGTCTAGCTTAGATAACTTAATGTCTATCAAATTGAAATGCTCTGTTTCATCACCTTAGTTGAGATTGATACACTGTCTCTTAGTGTCTGAAGTCTTGTTTTAGGATTTGGTCACATTCATAGTAAAATCTTCTAAAATTAAGCTTTATTAAAATATCTTTATTATTTCATTGTAATGGTTACATAAAACTATTTCTGTATTCTAATGGCTAATCAGTAGAGAAATTTATGTGTGGTTTTGTTGCTTTTGTTTCTAGGGGAGTATGGGTAGTATTACCTGCATCGCTTGGAAAGGGGACACTTTAGTGCTCGGAGATGTGGATGGAAATTTAAACTTTTGGGATTTGAAAGGCAGAGTATCCAGGTATAAGCCACAAATGAAATCTTGGTTCAAATGGAAAATTAGGACTTGTGAACAGGACCAATAAACATGGGTATAGGTTGGAGCCTTGTATTCTTTGTCACCTAAACTTGGGAGGAGGGGCCTTGAGCCTGGCCCTGATCAGACACAGTGGACCCTTATCTGCAGGTGGCCGTGCAGAAGTCCTGGGATGTTAGTCAGATGTTAGCAGCCCTTCTGTCAGATGTGACTCCCACCCCAGAGTGAGCCTCCCATCATTGCACCAGAAACAGTGTTCGCTGGCCAGAGAGTGTTCCACATCATGTTGGTTCTTTGTTTGTCCTCAGAGGAATACCTACACATCGAAGCTGGGTGAGGAAGATTCGTTTTGCTCCTGGCAAAGGAAACCAAAAGCTAATAGCAATGTATAATGATGGCGCTGAAGTGTGGGATACCAAAGAGGTAGGCCCAGCTCCACAGCCCAGCACGGAGCAAACGATGCTGCAGCTGCGAGAGCTGAGTGTATCTTCCCCTTGTTTTCTGGAAATGAAAACTGCAATTCCTGTGTCAGCTGTTAATAAGAAAGCTTTTATTCATTTTAAAGTTTTGCTTTCACAGTATTTGTGTTCTAAATGATAGTTCAAGAGATTGACTGACTGACTGAGGCTGTGAACTGCAGTCTGCATGTGAAAGAGGGGCTGCTGAGCCTGTTCGTTTCTAAGTGTACTCTGGCCTTTGTCACAGACCCTGTCTTTCTCTTTGGGGGATTTATTTATTTTTATTTTATGTATATGAGTGTATTGCCTGCATGTATGTAAGTGCACCTGTGTCATTCAGTGCCCTCAGAGGTTAGAAGAAGGCATCAGATCTAGAACTGGAGTTCTGGTTGGTTGTTAGCCAGCATGTGGGCGCTGGGATTCAAACCTGGGTCCTCTGCAAGAGCAACCAGTGCTCTTAACTGCTGAGCATGTGGCTCTCCAGCCCCGCCTGCCTGTCTTTAGCCCAGATAAACACCGCTCTTCTGTCACCTCATTCCTACAGGTTCAGATGGTCAGCAGTGTAAGAAGTGGAAGAAACGTGACCTTCCGGATCGTGGATGTAGACTGGTGCACATCAGACAAGGTGATCTTGGCATCTGATGATGGGTGCGTCAGAGTCCTAGAGATGTCGATGAAGTCTACCTGTTTTAGAATGGATGAACAGGAGTTAACGGGTAAGGGTCGCTCTTGAAATGATGCTGCAGCCTTCTGGAGAGAAAGCTACTTGCCGCTTTGTTCCAGTCTCATTTTCCAAGATCCAAGTAAAGGATGTCGGTGACCTGGGAACTCAGTGTTAGTCACTGAGATGCTGCATTCATGTATGTGCAGGCGCTGGGCGTTCCCAGCTCAGGTGGTTTCGTGTAGGTGCTTCTCCTGAGGGCCTGTTTGTTAATGAGTCAGAGGACACTGGCTTCACCAATGCAGCTTACTCAGCACCAATGACATGAATCTAGGAACTATTCAACAGAGAGCTTTCTATCTTCTGCAACCCTGTACCTTTGGAAGTCACTTTGGAAAGTGGCTCTGAGTATCATGAACTTCAGTGTCTATCTGTCACTTGTTATGTGACCACTCAAAGCGCAAATCGGGCGATTGCAGCATCTTGCACTTTGCTTTGAAGGTTTTTTTTTCCTAAAATGAGAATTATAGTAGTAAAATAACTCCATACATGATTGTATTTTAAGAAAGAATAGGAAGGTTGCAAGTGTATCTGTCCAGCAGTTTTAAAGGCAGCTTTTGTGTGGTGTTTTGGAGTTCGTTGGAATGCACCTGGAGAGGGGATAATGATTCTGGTCCCAGCTGGAGGAGAGGAGGGCTCTCTCGGCATGCCTGGCTCTCTGCCTTGTGGAAAAGCCGAGGCTCAGTTACCTGCTCATTCAGCCTGGACTCCTGTGCTTCTGCAGTCATTTAATAGTTGGCATTTGAGAGACAGACAGAGAGGCTGTGCAGACCTGCCCTCGCTTATGTGTTTGCTCGGGTCTCTGCCACTTCACAGGAAGCTATTGCTGCTTCATTCCACTCTCGTTTACCAAGAAAGTCGGTGCTCTGAGTGCTCAAGCTAGTCAGCAGCAGCTTCCTGTGCATGCTGGCCGGGCTGCCTGCGACTTCACCTGCTGCGCTTTGGCTCGTGTCACCTGCCTGCCTCTACCTACTCTGTTGTGGCACCAGCATGTGATTAATCTGTGACTGTCATCAGTAGAACGCTCATATTATGATCCCAGTCCTTAAGTAATTTTCCAGCTCTGCATAGCTGTCAGGACCTTCTCCCCAAGGAGAACAAACAGAAATACACGCTTTAAACCTCAAGTTACCAAGGAAATTGAAGGAATAGCAAAGGCGATTTCAAAAAAAAAATATTTAGTTGCTAGCTCTAGGTTAAGAAGTGGGGAAATACAATCTAAATGTTTGAAGAACTTTTCTTTTACCTTTGATCTAACATTTGAATCTGAAAGTTCCACTACCACAATAACGTTCTTAAATTAAGATGGTTGCAGAAAAGGAATCCATCTTAGCAGCCTGTGTTTAATGTAGTATTTAAACATCTGGTCTGTAGCCACTGTGTAGCTCATGTTTTCTTTTTAATTTTTACTAATATTTTTTAAACTTTTTTTTTATCTTCTATGTATGAGTTTGGTCTGCATGTGTGTAAATGCACTCATATTGTACAGTGTCCACAGAAGTCAAAAGAAGGTATCAGATCCCCTGAACTGGTGTTACAGATGGTTGTTAGCTGCCATGTGGGTTCTGGGAACTGAACCTGGGTCCTCTGCCTTTGAGCCATCTCTCCAACCCCTAAGTTTTTACTAATACTAAGAAGAAAATAACTATTCCTGTGTCAATTCTAGTAGTATAGCTTCAGCCAGAAAGCAGGAAAAGCAGACATGGTGATGGGAGAGGTCATTGAATCATGCACATAGTCTACTAGGTGAACATTAAATTGAGAATAGCAGTCAGTGAAAGTCATGATGGTGTAATGTGGAGTTAGGGAGAAGGATGGCTGTGTGTTTAACACCAGCATATACAGGGCAGACGTAGTCTTATACAAAGATTGATTTGTTTTTGTTCATGGAAATTAAATTCTATTTTAGGCTTGTTGATGGGGATAAGAATAAAATCGTTTTAGGAACTTACGTGTTGGTACATTGATATTTGATATGTTTTCATTTTTTCCCTTGATAGCAAGTGGGGAACAGCAGAGAACACACATGTGTTAGGGTGGATTAAACACACATAGCTCTTTCTATTAGAAGACCATTCCAACAAGCAGATTAAAACCCCTGTTTACAGAGTTAGAAAACTTTTCTTGTCTGCCGTTTCATTTGTCCAGGACATTAAATGCCTTGAATAATCTTTTTGGCCACGTCTGAAAGGAAGGCAGAGTGTGAGACTTCCTTAATAACACTGCAGATGATGCAGCTTCCACAGCACTGTAGTGCAGTGCAGTTCCCGTGCACTTTAAATGGTGGTGTCCTGGTGTCAGGCTTCATCCTAATTTCCTGCCCAACTCCAAGGTCACTGCTGAGCACCAGTTTCCTCAGGATCATACAGAAAAAAGAGGCCTTGACTGGACCCTAGATTTGCATTTTTTTCTAGTGCCGAGGTATGAATCCAGAGCTTTAGGCTTGCTAAGCATGCAGGGTACTGTATTCCCAGCTCCTAGACTCTAGATTTTTAAAAAGGATATTTGAGAAATAGCCAATAAGTTTGTTTTAAAATATATTTGTGTGTGTATACGAGTGTATTGCCTACATATATGTAAGTGCACCTGTGTTGTGCAGTGCCCACAGAGGTCAGAAGATGGTGTCGGATCCCCTGGAACTGGAATTATAGATGGTTGTTAGCCACCATGTGGGTGCTGGGAATTGAACCTGGGTCCTTTGCAAGAGCAGCCAGTGCTCTTAACTGCTAAGTCATCTCTGCAGCTCCCCAATAACTTTTGTATATGGACTGTATTTTAAGTGATTTTATTGAATCAGTAGTGAGTTGTGAAAAATGTAGGAGTAGAACCATTTCTGACCCCTTAAGGTGAAAAAGCCTGTGTACAATATTTATCTACGATTTAACTTTAGATTGCATAGAACCAAGTTTTCTAAAGCAACATTGCTTAATAGAAATATAATGAGCCACATAATGTTTAAGTTTAAATTTTCTAGAATTAAACTTAGAAGAGCTAAAAAGAGATGAGGTGGATTTGAATATTTTATTTACATCAGTATATCAAAATATTTCAAGTATAATTAGTATAAATAACTACTACTAATATTTTTACCTTTTCTAGTACTGAGTCTTCAAGATCCAGCTTTTCGTATTTGTTGTAAACTGAGCTAGCTGTAATTCAAAGGACATATTTTCAACAGAAATACTTGAGCCATGTTTACATTTTATAAAACTTTCAGGTGAAAAGTAACTATGGCTCCAAGATATTCCAGGTATACTTAAAAGGCATTTAGTGACTGAATGGACTTGAGGCTGTTGTTGGTCATCACTCTCCTCATCTGGATGGCTGGTCCTCAGGTGCTCAGTCGCTATGCGTGACTATTAGGTGTCTTTCCTGTTAGATGGCAAAGGCTGTAATGTGTGCAGGTCCATTTAGTAAGGTAGCATCACTGGTAGATTTGAGTTAGTAGTAGCTGTATCTGTTCAGGGGAACGGAGGAAAGGGACTGGAGGCGCATGAGGCTGAGCTGTCAAAACCAGTGGGCCCCAGGGCAGTGGCTCAGAGGTCAGGAGTCCTAAGGAGGGAAGGGTTTCTGAGCAAGGTTGCTGGGCACTGGAGCTTGTGATCCTCTGTCTTTCTACCGGAATGTGTTTAAAAAAACAGCCAGCTCTTACTTGTTTATTAGTGTCTTAACGAAGCCAGTTGTTGGACGTAAGGGGTGTGAGGTCATGAATTTAGGATGTTAACCCTTTGTTCAAAGGCTAGCTTCCTAAAGGACTCCTGAGAATGCCTTTCAACAACAAGCTCCAGATTCGTGGGCCGTGTTAACCTTACAGTCTTAGAAAAGTAAATATGTGATGGTACAGACAACACAGGTAAATGTAATTATTTTTAATATTTTTTAAAAGTGAGCTTTATTGGCATCTGTTGAGTCATTACATTGAGTCTTTTATTCAGGTAGTGCAGAGTGTTACACCGTTCAGGACACTGAAACTGGACAAAAGGGAAAAAGAATGTATTAGTCAGATTTGAATGGAAAACATCTGTGGTGTGGAATAGACTCCCAGTTGTACCAGGTTTATGCATTGGCCTCTGCTGACTGCCTTGTAAGTATTCTCTAGCTGAAGCGTCATTGTAGTTTAAAACTTTGTTAATGAAGTATACTCTTTTGTGGTCTAGAGCCTGTGTGGTGCCCGTATCTCCTTGTTCCAAGGGCTTCCCTTGCCTTGAAAGCCTTCTTACTACACCAGCCTTGGAATGGGCAATATTCTTTGAACATTGCTCACATGTAAGTAATTTCATTTTTGTTTTCTTGCATAATTTATTTGGGTTTGAAGGACACCCATGAAAATTAATGTGCCCTGTACTCGAGAGCATAAAAGGAATGAAGCTTAAAACCAGTCCAAGGAAAGGCAGAGACACTAAAAGCGTGTCCATTCTGCCTTCAGTTTCCCTGCTGTGAGGCCTTTGTGGATGTCGGGTCGATGAGGAGAGTGCTGTCAGGGCCGGGTGGTCATCATGCAGTCTGGTGGAGGGAAAGGACGAGTGGAAAAGATGGACGAAGAAGGCGGGGGGATTCGGGCCAGGCTTAATTCTTCCTAAAAGCAGCATCAGAACTATATTTACATATCAGCATAGAGGCTTTTGGAAGTTATTACTTAATTCTACAATTCACTGAACTGACTGCATGTGGAGGCACAGGTTGATTTTGGGACAGATTTCATCATCATTATTATTATTATCATTTTATTGCAGTGCGTCTATTGCCTAAGAACTGTTCACTTAGAGAAAAGAATGTCTGTTTTTCAGGGCAGACAGAGCAAATCTTTCAGTCTTTGTTCATTGTAGATTCTTTATTAAAAGGACTCTAAACCTGATAGTTTTTAGTGCCAGCTAATAAATTTTCTCATCTTTTGGAAGCCTGAAATTTCTTTATTCATTCCTTGTTTCGACTCAGTAAGGTGAAGGCAGACATTAAAGATGGTTGGTGAGTCCCAGGCACATTGTTTCGATTTTGGTCTATAGCCTAGTTTTAAACAAAAGGCTACAAAGAGGTTATTCTATATTAATACAACTTTTTTTCTGGTAAAGAAATAAGTGGGTATGGATGAAGAGATAATGAATGTGTTCAAACTCTTTTCTGTACAGTGATTATCCAGAAAATGAAGAAATAAAGAATCTCCTTCAAGAACAGTTGAATTCGTTGTCTTAGTAAGCACACTATATTTTATCAGAATATGAGAAAGTAAAGCACATTAATTTGGACTTTTTAAAACTGAAATAATTGTTTTCATAAGTATTAATGCCCCAAAGAGAGACCGTGCGTTGACATAGATTTATATATATATATATATATATATATATATATATATATATAAAATATATTATATATATAAATAATCTTTCTTTGGTAGAAGGGCCAATTTAGTAGTTACAGGGACAGAGTATCTGTGTTTACTAGTTCCCAACTACTGAATTGCTCTGGTCTCTTGGCGGGACCAGGAGCTATCCTGTGACGTAGTCCACCTGCCTCCATCATGCACTCTTAGGAAGCCATGTGCTAGATAACGCAGGCATGTGACTCTTTGAAACTGAGTTCTGTGTCAGGTGCTGTCAGTGTATAGTTCTGGCTAAGGAATTGGTATGTTTCTTAGAGCTCAGAGCATTGAGAAATAGATACTGGGAATCATATTGCAAAGGAAGGAGACCAGTAGGGGTCCACAGGAGTTCTTGGTAAAATACAGCATGTTTTTGTAATCTGTATCTCCGTTCTGCCTTTTGTTTCCACACCCCTGCTCCCCTCCCCACCCTCCCTCCACCCCATGAGGCCTGGGTTGATGAGGAGCTTCGAGCACATAGGGTGCTGTCAGGGCTGGGTGGTCTGCTACATGTAATAGTAATCTTTAACAAGTTACAATGCTTCATTAATTGAAAATTGGAACTATTGCTTTACTGTTTTCAATATTTAAAGATTAACGGATTTTATTTAATTGGGAAACTATAGACTTATGCTTGCAGTTAGGTAACTGGTCACATTTTCTAAAGCATGAGGGTAAAATGTTGCAGGCCTGCAAAGCTGAGTCCCTAGTAGCAGGGTGATTGATAGGTCCGCTTCTCAAGTCCTAGACAGGCTTGTCAGACCTTCAACTTGTGTAATTTTGGGGTCAAGACAAAGTAACTGCTTTTGTAAATTCTACACATATATTGATATATCTTTTTGCTTAATTGTTGGATTCAAAATTTCTGTTCTCCCTCCGCTTGGGTTCCTGTCTGCAGTGACATAAAGAAACTCTTGCTGGATCCAGATTTCACTCTCCTGCAGAGGTGCCTGCTTGTTTCCAGGTAATTCTGTTTGACGTGTTCTATGTCAGAGAATTTCAGGGCTACTCATTTCTCTTGTTAAGGCTTTGTAAAGTTATAACCAAACTCTGCAGCATTTTAGATCAAGATAGAGCTTCCTTTAGATTTGACTTACAGCTAATTCTAAGAGTAGTAATGAAAATCGGCAGACTGTTGAGCTACATTTTAAATGACAGGGCTTTTGCCTACAGGCAGCTTTTTTTTTTTTTTGGTCTTTTTGAGACAGTCTCCCTGTAGCCCCTGCTGGCCTGGAACTACCTACTTCTGCCTTCCAGGTGCTGGAATTAAAGGCATGCCTCACCACATCCACTCCTGGCATTACAGGCACCTTTTTAAAGCCATGTATTTAGATGTATTTAAATATATTGGTAAGTTACATTTAAAAGCAGTAGCCTATACTTCCCCATTGTTCAGCAGAGTTGTCACTTACAACAAAGACATTTCCCTCTGTGCTACAGAAAATAAACAGGCCTTCATACCTCATCTAGCCGAGTTTCACCAGAGGAAGCTCATACTGTGAAGCTCTTACCCAAATCCTGTGCTACTGGCAAACTGGCAGATAATGGATCTAACAAAGAGCTGCTGGGTGTGAAGGAGCTCTGTGCAGTCAGGCCCTTTGTTGTGGGGAAACAAGGCTAGAGGGCTCACTGCTCTGTGCCCTTCCCTGCCAGGCTGCACCAGTGTCCTGATGGACCCTGATGTGTGAGAATGCACTGTGACATTACATTCCCCTCCTCAGGCTTTATGGTGACGAGTCAGAGCTGCACTTCTGGACTGTGGCAGCCCACTACCTGCACAGTTTGTCCCAAGACAAGCCTGAGGACATGGTGACAATCAAGGAAGGTGCTCCTCGGGACAAGTTGAACAACCCACTGGACATCTGTTATGATGTGCTCTGTGAAAATGCCTATTTCCAGGTGTTTCTACTTCATACAGCCTCATTACAGATAGGACCTTGATCATTTTTGTTTTTCTAAGTATCTTAAACTTGGGAATCTTTCAAACTAAGCTAAAGTCCACAGCCTAGAAATAAGTCTTCTAGAGGGTTTGCATAAGAAACGTCTGATTCATTTCAGAAGTTTATAACTGCTAAGTTTTTATTGGACATAAATTTTTTATTAAAACGGTATTAATTTTTGGTCTTCAATTTTTGTCTTGGGTTCATTTTAATTCACTTAAATTTTCAAAAAATGACAAAAAATGTTTTCTTGAATTACATTTTATATTCAACATATGTAAAATAACTTCATGAGTTAACTCTCAGTAGAATACTTTGATCAAGTTCGTGAGACCACGGGATTTTTTCACCCAGTGAATTCTGTTCAAGTGCCAGTTTCACTTTCTATAAACAAGCAGACAGGTATACAATGATAGTCTATGTCAGTGTTTTTTTCTTTTGAAATCCTTATTAAATTACTGAATTTCTGTAAAGTTAACTACCTCATGGCCTTGGAATTATTTTCTGAGACAGTCTTGCCCCAGTTGGTTTGTCCTGAACTTGTAGCTATACTCCAGTTTTCAGTTCTCCTGCCTTATCTCCAAGTCCTGGGTAGACGTGCACCATCAAACCCATCAGAGTAGAGTTTCTTAAAGTGACTTTATTAGGTTCAGTATAATTTAAGTAATGAAAATATTTGAGGGGCTGACAGATAGGTAGTTAAGAGCACTTGCTACATAATCATGAGGACCAGAGTTTGGATGCTACACACGTGTAATAAGCTGAACATCCCCCCCACACCCATAACCCCAGCTTTGAGCAGGGTGGAGACAAGATAACTGGGGCTTCTTCAGCCTAACTGAGAAAACTTGAACCCCAGGTTCAGGGAGAGACCCTTCTTCAGAGCAGTAGACAGAGAAGGATGGAGGAGGACACCCAATGCCCTCTCAGGCCTCCACAGGCTCACATATGCATACACATACACTCACACACAGACACAGACACACACAAATAGTAAATACTCTTTAAAAAGTTTGATAGCTGGAGCTATAGCTCAATAGGTTAAGAGCACTGGCTGCTCTTGGAAAGGACCTGGGTTTGGTTCCCAATACCCACATGGCAGCTCTAACTATCTCACTCTGGTTCCAGAGGATCTGATGCCCTCTTCTGGCCTCCACAGGCATTACCTGCAGGTGGTGCACTTAAATACACACAGGCAAAACAACTCATACATATAAAATACAACTAAATTAAAAAAAGTTTGATAATCCAGGCTAAATTTACATTTCTTTTAATTTCCTACTCTAGAAATTCCAACTGGAAAGAGTTAATCTACAGGAAGTAAAAAGGTCAACTTATGATCACACAAGGAAATGTACAGACCAGCTTCTGCTCTTGGGTCAAGTATGTCGATTTTTATGTGTCATGTTTGTAGAGTCAGCAGTTGAAAGCACCATTGTACACATACGCACTCCCATGCACGTCTATAACATAACCTCACTTGAAGCATCTTCTTCACTTTGCACACCTAGACTTGCTTTAAAGTAGTACCACCAGACGTTTTGAGACAGCACAGACATGGCTGGCTAGCACGTGCAGCTAGCACATGGTCCTCATGTTAGGTGAGGGCCAGCTGTTTGTTCTGCTCTACCCCTCAGCAGCTTCTGCTTGCCTCAGAGTACTGCAGCTTACTATCTGCAAGCTCTAGACTGTGACTTCCACATTATGAATTTACAAAGGTTATGTTGGAGGAAAATGTCTCCTAATTAGAAAAACTTTCTCTTACTAGACAGACAGAGCTGTGCAGCTGCTGTTGGAAACAAGTGCGGAGAACCAGCACTATTACTGTGATTCCCTGAAAGCCTGTCTGGTCACCACTGTCACCTCTTCAGGCCCCTCTCAGAGCACCATTAAGCTGGTGGCAACCAATATGATTGCCAATGGCAAACTCTCAGGTAAGGTCTGCCCTGGCTGCATTTGTCAGGATGTCTCTTTCTGTGTACTACAGGAAAATGGGGAAATTAGAGCTGACCGTAGGATGACCATGGCCAGATAAAGGGTGGTGAGCATGAAAGTAGACACTAAGAATTCTAGTAACAATAGGCATTGGTCCAGTGTTCTTGGGCAGATGAGACAATAAAGCCCTGGATCAAGGTGTGCCTCCCCGTTCACTCTCCAGTGTGTTTCTGCTTACTACTCCGGTTACCTGAGTGGTGACATTATAGAGCCCTGTTTTAAAATCTTGTTTTAAAATTTAATGCAACAGTGTTCCATTAGGTCCAGGTCAATTACCCCTTATCCAAACCACAGATGTTTCCAGTTATTGTTTGGGGACTGTTTGTATACACATCATGAGGTATCTTAGGGGTAGAACCTAAGTCTAAATGTGAAATTCATTCATGTTTCACATGTATCTTAAACACATAATCTGAAGGGAATTTGACAACAGTAATCTAAATAACTGTGCATGAAAGATTCAATGGAGTCAAATGTGATTTCACTTTAAAAAATTTTTTATTTGTTTAGTTTTAGTATGTGTGAGTGTTTTGCCTGCATATACATAAGTGCACCATGTGCACAGAGGCCATCTGATCCCCTGGAACTGGAGTTTGGATAGCTGTTAGCCACCATGTGGGTGCTAGGAACCAAACCCAGGTCCTCTGGAAGAGCAGCCACTGCTCTTAACCACGGAACTGTCTCTCCAGCCCTGTGATTTCACTTTTTAATGACTTCCAAGGAGCGCTGCAGGACCACATGAGGGGGTTGATCTTCTGTCTTTCAGAGGGTGTTCAGTTGCTCTGCCTGATCGACAAGGCTGCTGATGCCTGCCGTTACCTGCAGACGTATGGCGAGTGGAATCGGGCAGCTTGGCTTGCAAAGGTAGGCAGTTCTAGCAGGCCACATAAGCAGGTGAGATGGAAAGTTCAGTCTTGAACCTCTGACCCATGATTTGAAAGTATTCTTTGGTTGCAAACTGCTCTGCAAATGTTTCCTTCCTCTCCTCCCTCCTGTGCTTTGAGTATAAGTTGCTGATAACTGGATAACAGAGCTTGCATTGGGAGCAGTTAAGTGAGGGCAGCCGATTCCTCTCTGCTGGGGTCTGATCCAGCCTAGCCAGAAGCACTGCCATGCCCTCAGCCGTTACCCTGCAGTTTATGACAAGCAGAAGCTTCTGAGCTGTGTGCTAGCAAATCAGAGCCTGGCCTTTGTTCCAGAGAGTCACACTCACTTTAATTGTGTAGCGATGTAGATTTATGATTGTGACATAAACCCTCTTTCTCAGGTTCGGTTAAACTCTGAGGAGTGTGCTGACGTTCTGAAGCGGTGGGTCGATCACCTTTGTTCTCCACAAGTCAACCAGAAGTCCAAGGCCCTCCTGGTCCTCCTCTCCCTGGGCTGCTTTGTCACCGTGGCTGAGACGCTTCACAGGTAGGTGGCGCAAGCCCTGGCTGCTCAGGCTGTCCTAGAGAAGTCACCTCACCGTGTGTTGGGGCACTGAAGGTGCAGATAGCACGCAGGGTGTGACGGGAGAGGAAAAGGGTACAATTAAGGCTTGTGAAGAAACCCCAAAAGGGGGTGGGGCATCTCTACATTACTTCTTTACTTGGTCTAGAAACTAGTATTCTGCCACCAATATACTGGCCAAAATGAAAGGGCACTTATTTTAAGAATGCAACGGAAGTCTTTAGGCAGTTGGGAAGGATTCAGCTTTGAGAGTGTAGTTGAGAAGCCCAGAGAGCAGTAAGAGGTGGTAGAGAGTATTGCAAAGTGGAGGGCTTCTCAGCATCCCAAAGAGGGATCTTATCCCTTCTGACAGGAGATTAGCTTATTAAACTAAAGGCAGGGGCTGGAGAGATGGCTTAAGAGCCCTGGCTGCTCTCGCAGAGGACTCGGGTTCGATTCTCAGCACCCACATGGTGGCTAACTGTCCTAACTCCAGTTCCAGGGGATCTGATGCCCTCTTCTGACCTCCGTGAGTATTGCATGGCACAGGTGCACTACGTACATGCAGGCAATACACTCATACACATAAAATAAAAAGTAATAAATAAAAAATATATGAAAAAGGAAAAGAAAACTAGAGACAGTAAGTTCAAATAAATTTGGCGGAGGATTGTTAAATCTGGACAGTGGGTGCATGGTTCTTGCCATGGCTCTGTAGATGACAGTGATTTTAACCATTTAACAGTGTTCTTTAGTGTCGTAATGAAGCTTGAGTTGGAGATGTGCTCTCCTCTTCTTTATAAACCAGGACTTAGAGAGGTGTTGGTGACCTGTGAGGTACTCTATTTCCAGGGAAAATCAGACAGAAATGAAGCCTTGGGTGTTTCCACCCCCTGACAGTTGTTGAGGGCTAACTCATTTTACTCTGTTGACCAGCATGAGGTACTTCGATAGAGCTGCGCTGTTTGTGGAAGCCTGTCTCAAGTATGGTGCGTTTGAAGTCAATGAGAACACAGATATCCTTTCAAGGACGTTTGTGCTGAGGGGGGAGATGGTGACATGTGTGGGGTCTGGGACTGTGTTGTATTGAGGAAGATCCACATTCTGATTGATCAGAGCCAGAAGAGAGGGAGGAGGGAGGAGAAAGAGTCAGAGCTAGTGGTCGTACTACAGGCTGGTTTGGAGGGGAGGCAGGGAGGACTGCGCAGCAAGGGGCCCACATTCTATAATGTGTGTTTGAACTTAAAAGGAAGGTGAAGTAAGTTAGAAAGGCATCTGGCCCTGGTACTTTAAAATAGTATTCTTTCACATTATCACACCTCGTGGAATTTTGTGTACTCATCCAGAAGGTGTAGACTGAAAAATAAACCCAGAGTGTACCCACCGTGACCCTCTGACAGAACAGGACAGAGCATTTCAATGTTTCGCAGAGGTAGGCCACAGTGGGCCACCCGCAGCCAACAGTGTTGTTTCCCCTAGCCGTTCCTCGGGCCACTTTCTTTTTGAAAAGAATGAACTTGAGGATACAGCTCCTAATTCTTTGCATAGTAACCCTACTTTTTCCTCATTGTGCTTTGCTGAGTTACAGTTTGACCTCATTTCTACATGTCAGATATTTAGTTCTATACATAGAAATTTTTCAAAGATTAAAACCTGAGCTTGCTCGAGGCAGTCTACCTAGTTGTTGGTGAAACTGACTGTAGAATCAAATGCCCAGCTCCTATGTCAGAACACAACAGAACTGAGCCATCTAAAAACCCAGTGCCCAGCTACATGGAGCCCCTTCCATCGGGAAATCATCTGCCCCCCGCCCCCACTGCCAGCCTCTGAGAAACGTCCACATGGGCTGCTGAGGGCGTGCACAAGGCTCTTCTGTCCTCTGCCATTCTCCAGTCTTCAGTGGAGCACAGGCCGCAGGAGAGTCTGGGAAGGTGCTGGTAGGAGAATTCCGAAAGACCAGACTCTGCTGCTGTAGAATGCAGTGAGGTCACATGTGGTACCACCACAAAGAGGTTCCTGTGCTGTCCCATGCTGCCCCTCCCCCAGTCACACCGTAGGCACCAGGTCCCCCTCGAGAAGCTGGGCAGAGCTGCTTCTGCCCTTGGGAGCCTGTGTGGCGTCAGCCCCGCCCTGCTGCTCTTTTTTTCCTTAACTGAGGTTTACAGAAACTTATCACTGCTGTCTATGCAGACTACGCCCGGAGTCTGAGGAGCCTTGGTTTTAAACAAGGAGCGGTGCTTTTTGCTTCAAAAGCTGGAGCAGCTGGCAAAGACTTACTGAATGAGCTTGCATCCCCCAAGGAAGAACTAGCAGAGTGACGAGTTCTGTGCAGGGCGTCTGATGTTGGAAGCAGGGTGTGAGAGGAGTGGACCTGGCTGTGTTCACAGTCATGGTCAATGCTCTGCCGTGGAAGACAGGGTTCTTGTGAGATGCTTCACCACCTTCCCAAGGCTATAGGTGCCCAGCAGTGGGGCAGATTGTCTCTAGGAGCAAGTTCTGTGACCTGCATTGAACTCAGAATGTGGGGCACACTGGAAAGTGTATAGCATTTATATTTTTTGAGAGAGCTTTAAGGTTCCTGGGAATACTTTTAAATTTTTTAAACTTAAAAATTCAAGAGACTGGATTGCCTTTCCCATTGACTGAATTTACGGATGTTTAAAAAATCTGTAGTGAACAAGGTCTGTGAGATGGAGCGATTCTGCAGTGCATAGAATGCCTGTGCTGGTGTGCGCGCATTCGGGACGCGAAGATGGCTCACCAAAGCACTTGTCTTCTTACTTTGAGAACACACTTGATTCCTAGGTGTGGGCATTGCTCATTTTTGTAATTTTAGGCTCCTGGTCTTCATGTTTAATGTCAGTGTCTATAGTCTTTGATACTTTGATTTCAACTCCTGATACATTCCACTACCCTCATTCCAAACCTCTTTGTACTTTCCGTCTTTGTGTTCTCCTACTAGGTGAAATGTATGAGATGTCTCTGTTATAAATTATCGCTGAGAACTGAAAGGCTCTGACAACAAAATAATAAATACAAGGAAAATTCCACAGGACTTGGTTGCTTTGAATTAGAGATGTGCACTTTGGGTCAAGTAAGTGCGTTCCTGATTCAGTCTTGAGGGACACTGAGGAATACAACAGAAGGTAAAAGTGACGAGATAGAACGTTGGCTCCAGGCGACTTGGGGTGGTTTCCAGCTCTCCAGTCTTCAATATTGGTAGGTAGAGAAGTCGGGGGCCACTAAGGAAGAAGGCCGGTTCCAGACCCCGTGTGGCAGCACTGCAGGAAGACTGCCTTTGAATGAGTGGCTGTATCTGAGTTGCGGGAGACACTTCATATCCAAACCATAACATCCAATTTGATTTCTCCCAAGAATCTAGCCAGTCCTGAATCTGCCCATGAAGTCCCACAGACCATCTTCAAAACTCCTGTTTGAGATAGCCTTGCAGATGTCTACAGGGACATCAGAGTGGCCTCTACCCCTGACTGGCCCGAATCTGCTGGCCCAGTTCCTTCAGCAGCTCTCTACCTGTCCCCTCATAGGAATGTGGCAAGGATCCAGGGTCCTCACTGGAAGGAGCTGGAGAGTATGTGAGGGACAGGGAGGAAGGAACTTTACCAGGCTGAGTAAAGGGAGTCAATAAAGGGAGTTTGTGTCTCACTGTCTGGCTGACCCCTGACCTCAGCCTCTCAGGAGCAAAGCCTCCATCTGCATGTGCTGCCCCGCCTGAACCATCTGACCTTCACACAGCACTGAAGTAAACCAAGGCTGAGAGCAGTAAAGAGAGGCGGGTGACACTGTCCTCAAGCCCCACGCAGAGCAGCTTGCTGAGACACCAGGCTTTCAATCCTAAAATTAGTATGGTCCTTGGTAAACAGGAATGGTTTGTCACCCTACTAGTAAAGGACAAAGCTGGAATGTAAGAATTGGGGTTCTCAACGATGGACCCCAGCTGTTTCTATCCTCACTCCAAAGCAGGGTAAATTTAAGGGGTCAGAATCAGAGCTCTCTTCACAAGTCAGCTGAGGAAGAGGACGAGATGAGTCAGGCCAGTCCAAAGGGCCTGAGTGGAGGGAAGCTGCTCAGCCGTGTGCTGCTGGTGGGAAGGAAGGGTTTGCAGAGCATTTCTCAAACTGGAGTGGCAGGCTTTGGACATCCCAGGACTTACTTGCAAAGTGGAACAACGTCTACTGCTGTGGTTTGGGCTTTCTCCTGTGCAGAAACGACTGCATTGTGCCCTTGCTCTGTCCTTCTGTCCTTATTTTTCTTTTAAACAAGTAGCAGATGTTTTGGGAGAACTAAAACAGGACCTGTCGACTGAAAAATCAAAATATTGGTCTTCAGGGTCGGTTCTGTTCCTTGGTCAAAGGCTTTGGAATCGCAATTCTTTTCCTGCTACTGCAGAGTAGCTCTGTTTTCAATTATGCAACCAGCAAAGAATGGCACTTGCTGCTAAAAGGGGCGGCATAGGCCATTCTTCCCCTGGATGGGACCACAGTGGTCACCAGCCATTCAAACACTGGTTTCAGAGATTCCCAGACCGAGAACCAGCTTCTGCTATTTCGTCTACTTCAGAATCCTGGCAGGCTGACCGTCTGTAGACAAACCCAGTCACTCCTTCAGCCTCACAGGCCAGAGCATCCTGAGGAAAGATGACCAGAGTTAGACCTGTGATCTCCCAAGCCATCAGCCTGCTGCCTCTACTTGCAAGTGGGTAGGCTAAAGGAAGCTCAGAGAGGATTCTCTCCTTACACTTGCCTCGAGACCCATCCCCATTCTCCTCCCTTCCCGCTTACTCTCCTTCCCAGCCTGGAGCAACTTTGGAGCTGCCCATACCTGGTGAGTTAGACAGGAGTCTTGCTGGGTGTGAACTGGACTAGGTGGAATCTGCTGGATGCCACTGGAATACCAAATGAAGGGGCAACTCAGAGTCACCAAGGGTGGCCTGAGCTTGCTGCCCAGCTCTCCAAAGGAGGAAAAGCTGGTCACTTCACTAAGTCAGTAGACTCAGCTTGGATCTGAAGATGCATTGCCACGCCATTTGTTGCTGTCCTTAGAAATCCACAGGCACAGAACAGAGCCCTCAGGAAAAGACCCTTTGCAACCCAAGTCTTCCAAACAAATGCCACTTTGTCCCTTGCTTATGAGACTGCCTGCCGTTACAGTCTGCAGTTGAGGTATCCTGGTTCTAATGCAGCAGTACAGTATAAGCGGGCTGCTGGGAAGGTGAGGGGCTACAGGCTTTTCAGGAGCAATCATGGTGTCTGGTGTGTCTCAAGGCCATGTGGAAAGCCCAGCCTTTGAGCTCCTGGGGGGGACTCTTCCCTGTCTGTCCTTGGCTGCTGGCAAGTGTGTTGGCCTGTGTAGGGAGCAAGGACTCCAGGATCCCTGTAGGAACCAATAGATTCACTGCTCCCTCTACTACAGGAATGGTTGTCCCTCCCAATTCACCTTCAGGTGTAACCTCAGAGTATGATCTTACTTGGAATCAGGTTTATTGCAGATATGAAGATCTTGAGATGAAGCCATGTTGGATCTATGGCGACCCTAATCCCGATGGCTGGTGTCCTTGTGAGAAGAGGACATGGAGTTAGAGGAGAAGAGACTGTGGTGACAGAGCAGGACTTGCGTACTGTCGAGGAGCCAAACAACACCACGGATGGTCATGGACCATCAGAGACTAGGAAGAAGGAGAGAAGGCCCCTCCCTGGGAGCCTCTGCAGGGAGCATCACCCTGCCCCCCAGTTTTAGACTTTTGACTGCAAAATAGTGAGAGGAAGCTTCTATGGTTTGAAGCCAAGTTTGCCATCATTTGTGGTGGCGCTCTGGAACACCAGTCTACCTCCATCAACCCACAGTGGGCACCCAGAAGTCCTCTGAGATGTCAAGTCCGCTTGTCCCTGTTAGAAGATTGGGAATTCTAATGCTCTCGTGGCTGAGGGAAGGAGGAGGCCTCTGCTTGCCCTCTGTATTCAGTGGGTTTTCTGGGGTAAGGTTCTACCTTTTGTGGGGCAAACATGTCAGGATGGACCCTAGAGCCTTGTGCATGCCAGGCAAGTCTACCACTGACTTAACTCCTTGTCCTATACTTTTTAAAGAAGAAAACCATGGCTTCCAAGCAGTCCTCTGGACGGCCAGGTTTTCGCATCCGGGCCCTCCACTTTCTGTTCCCACTGCCGTTTGTAACATCCCACGTAGCCCGCGCAGCACTCTGCCACGTTTCTCCTGTCGCTCTCTACTGACCAGAGAACTACGAAAACAAACTGTTCCTAGACTCATAGCCCCAGAGTCCACTTTGTAAAAACCTCTGGAGCTTAACAGAGGCTGGGAAATGTTCCAGGCTGAGATTCTCTGTGGTTTTAGCTTTCTACTTCTAGAGCCAAGAATTCCTTTTTATAACCTGTATACCCCAATCTGTGTTCCTTGGAATTATAACATCCTGTGAAATATTCTTTTGAAAGCATCATGGCCAAACAAATTTGGGGCCTGCCAATGTAAGTCCAGTAAGTTTCTTAACTGCAAACCTCCTGGGGGCCTTTAGCATGCAAATCAAGTGCCCCCCCAAAAGCATGATATTCAGTATTCTGGGACTCTGATCTACTGAGCAGGTTTTTTTTCTCTATGCTCTGCCTGCCCCTGTCTTGACTGTATGAGCTTCATCAATAAAGATGCCCCTCTCTCCCTTGTTACCTAGGCTTTACAACAGTCACCTGTCTCCTACCTGTCTTTCTTATAAGTGGTGGAGGAATGCAGCTTCCCAGATCACAACTCATCCCCAGGTCTCTATCCCCAGCAGCAAGCCCACTTTTTTAGAGGTAGGGTCTCATGTATCCCATACTGGATTCAGACCTGCTATGTAGCTGCAGGTGACCTAGAACCCCTGACCCTTCATCTACCTCCCAAGTGCTTGGCTTTACAAGTATGTGCCCCATACCTGATTTTCACATGGTGCTGGGGATCAAGCCCAGGGCTTCCTGCATGATAGGCAGACACCGTACCAACTGAGCCATATCTTCAGTCTACAAGTTCACTTTTAAATGGTGTAAAAAGGCCAGGCCACTCCTCTGTCGGATGCTGTCACTTGCACCAACACTAGTGGTTCTGAGCACACAGCACAGTCACATGTTTCTCTTGCTGCCTGGTATACTTTTCCCTCCTCAGCTGCCTGTGGAAAAGCCCTGAAGGCTGGTACCCACACCCTCCTCACACCTCCTCTCTGCACCCAGATCAGAAGCTGACCTCCAGCCCATAGCAATGGACTGCTCACTGGCCTGTCCTCACCAGGCTCCAAGTCCTATAGTATCTCCAGCACTTTCCATGGTGCAAGCACATCTGGGTTCTCATGTACCTGCTCTTGATGCCATGAGTTGGTGCAGGACATGCCCAGGCCAGGGTTAACTAGAGCCTGAGGCTGCTCCCACGAGAAGACCTCCAGATCCTTGCATCAAGGACACTGGTGTTCATCGCTTCTACTTGCTTAATTAGCACAGTGATAATGTTTCCTTTGCTCCTGTGCTTATACTGTTTATGCCTCTCCTTCAAAAAAGTCGTGACTCTTCTCCTTACCACCTAGCCAGGTCTCTTCATTTCTTCCAACCACAACCTTAGGCCCTTTATAAGCAATGATATCACTTAGGTGGTTCAATCTGAATCTACCATCTTTTTTTTTTCTTTAATAACCACATGATTGGAAGAAGCATTTCATTACAGCTTTAACATATTCAGTAACAATTTCCAGAGCAAGGATACATCTCTTTCAAAAGTGGCTATAAATTTTTAGGTTCACAATTGAATTAATACAGTTATATAATATTGAACTCAGTATAAACCCTGTGAGACATAAAATTGAATGAGTTTTTAACCTTTAAAGAAGATCTCCATTTTAAAATATGCTGTTTCCTACATTTTAAAAACTAACGCTTAGCTGTTTGCACATGTGTCTTTAATTGCTATGTATCTGATTCTTACTAGTCACAGTTGGTTACACTCAGATCCTTGGCACCTGACTATGGCTATAAGGTCATCAGGTAGATTTCAGTGGTAATGT